GCGGATTTCTTGGATCGACGCTGGAGTCCCCTGGCTGCGCCTCCGGCTCTGCCCCTGGCTCGCTCCGCGCGCCAGGGAGGGGGACCCAGCGCCGATCCATGAAATCCGCGCGGACCTCCGAGGCGTATGTTTACTAAAGCTTCTCGTTCGTCTAATTCTTGGAAGAGCGCCAGTCGTGGCGTGGCCCATCATGGGCGTAGACTGGGCCTCGTCAGGTCCGGTGCTGGTGCACATTTGGCACCCTCCTCGCCCATGCGGTGGCTACCGACATGCGTGACGATTGCGAGGAGGCTGAACAAAACCAACATTGGCATTCTCCAATCTCGCTCGACAGCAGAGGCGAGGCTTTTCGTCGACGCCGATATCAAGCTGCGCCAGGACTTCCGGAAGGGGGGGGGAAAGGGCTTGGGGGTGGGTTCTCGCAGGGGGGGGGGTATGGAGGGGAGGGGGGATTTTCGATGAGGGGCTTGTAGAGGAGGGGACGTTTAGATGGCTCAAGGCTTTCTGGCTCAAGAGAGAGAGAGAGAGTGCAGGTCTCACGTACAGGTCTCACGTACAAGGCTCACGTACAAGACTCTCTACTTCAGGAACTCCCGCTTTCAAGAGCCATGGCGTCCGCTGAGGAGATTCGCAGCATCATCTCGGAAGCGAACAAGACCTTGTGACCCGACGTAGCCAGAGACATTCTCGCCACGGTCGACGAGCTGATCAACACAACAGTGGACAAGCGGCTCAAAGTCCATGAGGAAAACATCATGAAGGAACTCCAGAACCTGAAGGCGCGCACGTAGGCGCTGGAGAACATGAACCGCGTGGAGAACTCCACTGGAGCTCAGTGCGGAGGGGGGTCCAAGCGAGCTCGTTCGGAACCACCCCAACAATCCCGGGTCCAGCACGATTATAAGCCAGTTGTTGTCCTTACAGGTTTCTTGGCTAATTCCCGCAAGCCGGACATCGAGACTTTTTTGAAGACCGAGTTGGGCAACGTGGAGGAGTGGAAGGGCTTGCATGCTTTCACACCCAACGTGCGTTCCACAGTGGCCATGGTCCGCGTGCGCTCCAAAGACGCGGTTTTCGACTTCATTTCCAAGTGGAAGGCCATGAACATAGAGTACAAAGGTTCGGCTTTCCGGGCGAGGGCTGATAAGACCCCGGAGCAGCGCCGCAGCAACGCCAACGTCTACAAAATGTCAGAGTAACTACCTGAAGCAGACTTTCCCCGGCAAGGAGGTCGACGCGGATTTCAAGCAGGTCAGCGTGTGGGTCGAGGAATGGACGTTTGTGGAGTGGGACCCAGACTTTTCCGACTCCGTCTGGAACGACGATGCCATATCAGCATCCGGCCTCGCCTTGGACAAGATGCAGGCCGAAGCGGTCACGAAGTGACTATTCGACCGAGGGGATGGGGATAATTCGTTCGCTGTTGAGGGGGTCTCCGGCGAAGTGCACGTAGCCACTTGGAACGTAGCCGGGGTCCATCGAACAGATCTCCGACCATTTCCTCTGGGATGCAGTATTTTTGCAAGAGGGCTGCGTTCGTGCGAGTGAAATCGCATGCGAGGCCAACCGCCTGCTGTTCATCACCTCCGCCACCTCCTTCGGCAATCTCCGCCGGCCCTCAGTACTTGTTCATGCGCGGTGGCGCGACAGTTCTGGCTTCGCTGGGTGCGGCCAGCGCTGGGTCGCAGTCGAACTCAACAACGAATGCGTCCTATTGTCTCTACATCTTCCACATTCCTCATTGCCCCTACGATGTTTCATCGGCACTCTAGACGAGGTGGCCGTGTTCTTGCAGAGCTACTGCGGTCAGAAAGTCGTCATTGGTATGGACGCAAATGTGAATATGTATTATGCGAGCGATTTCTGTCATGTGGGGGACAGCGTTCTTCCTGTCTCCACCGTTCGGTCGTCGGAGCAGAGGGAGCGGGCAGGACATCTTCATCGTTTTTTGGTTGATCACGGTTTGTGCTTGACAAGCACGTTCACCGACGATGCCGGCATATACTTGGCTGCGCGGGCCCATTGACTGAGGGGCGTATCCTGGAGCGTGGTCACGATCAAGTCGACATTCTTGCAGTTCCGATCCGAGTCAGTTGTGCCGAGTCCCAAGTTGTGGCAGGCTGCATTTTTCCACCGGCCATCGCGTGGTCACGGCATACCTCCGCATTGATTGCTCTCCTATCCTGCGGAATCCTAGCCCATCCAATCGTAAATGGGTGCCGGGCGACTCTTGGGGTGAGTCGTCGGCCGCTTTCAATTGGGATTGGCAATCTTCGGACGCAGCCGCGACGGTTTGGAGAGATTTGGCACGTGCGCATGCCAAGCGACAGCATCGACAGCGCAGTGGCGAGCTTCTCGATGCGGTCCTTGACGCTCGCGCGAGGGGGGCGCCAGCAGAGAAAAGAAGAGCTGCATCGCACGATCTTCCGGCATCGCCGGAAGCGTCGACGGGAAGCAGCTGACCGGAAAATTCAAGAGGCTGCCGCAACCGTTGCGCTACCATCCGACTGCCGCACAACAAAAAAACGCTATTGCGAATCGGGGGGGGGGGGGGGCTTTCACTTGTGTGGATCCCGCAGAGAAGCTTGGCAGCCATTTCCAAGCCATCCACGGCTTCGAAGACCTGTCCGAAGCAAAAGCGGAAAGGAATCAAAAGTCTCATTGCATCAACCTCTGGCGAGATTTACGCATTGATATGTCGCTTTGGCGGATTGCGGAAGATCGGTTGCGCGCAGCCACTGGGGAGCTACAGATTGGAAAAGGAAACTCGGACGGATGCGCGGCCGAAATGTGCCGCAATCTTCCTTCGACAGCATTTGTCTATCTGGCAGTTTTCTTCAGCTCAGTGTTTGCGTCGCTCAGTATCCCGGCAGTGTGGGCGCGCATGATGGCGGTCTTGTTTCCCGAGGTCTGCAGCCCAGCTAACTTGGGGAATTCCGGGGTCTCTCATCCCTCGTGACAGCCAGAACAATTGGGGTATTCGTGGATGCAGACGTTGCCAGCTTTACGCTTGGAGTCATTCCAGACCGGTTTCGTCCCGGGCAGTCCTGCTTCCCAGGGGGTATATGCCGTGCAGCGCGCTGCCGAATTGAGTCGAGAATGGGGCGGCCAGACCTTTGTAGTTCAGGTGGACTAAAAACGCGCTGTTGACAGAGTGCTACGCTCGACTATAATCCGAGCGCTCAAACTCCAGGGTGCATCTCTGCAGTGCATCGCCGTACTATGCGCCGTGTTGATGAACGCAGAGGTCGATGTTGCACTCTGTCACATCACGTCGGGCCCCGTGCTCCTCGAACGGGGAGTGCCGCACGGCGCGCCTGAGTCGCCAATTTTGTTCATCATGGTCACAGAGATGGTGTTGCGGCCGTTGCTGTCCAAATGTCGGTCTCAAGGGAAGGCTGGTGTCTTGACAGTTGCGGGCTCGGCGCTGTCGCTTTCGCTGATGACGTCCTTTTGGTTGCCGAGACCTTGTCCGAAGCCTCAGCCACGCTGGCAGACGCGATGGGCTTTTTTCTGCAGTGGGGCTTTGCGTCGGAGCGGAGAAGACTCACTGGGGTTCTTGGCCGCCGATGCCCATAGGCTCGTTGATCATGGCGGGTGAAGCGATAATTTGGTCAGAATCGATCGCGCTCGTTGGCGACGTCATTGGCCTCAATGGGAATAGCGGGGGAATCATGGTGCTCCGAATGGAGCAGGCTGACAAGGTATACCAGGTGGAAACCAGTCTTCCAGCGTCGACATGCCAGCCGAAGGAGAAGACGAGCTTTGGGCTGACAGATGCTGATGGCATCGGCCCTGTGGCTGGCAGAAGCTTGGCATTTAACCATGGAGCAGAAGCAGAAATTCAACAGTTGGTCAGCAAAGCGCATGTCAGATACTGCCCGGAATCGCCGTCGCAGCGCTGGGAGTCTTGGCGTCTTCTGGAGGCGCCTTACAAGACCGGCCACGCCTTCGTGGAAGACACATGTGGTTCTGCAGAACACAGGGGACGAGTGCGCCCACATCGTTTTGCCGGACACCTCGCCCGCATGTGTGGCATCTGCGCAGACGCCGCGCGCACCCGGTGTCTCGCGTGGTGGAGGTACCGGCAGAGACGGCACCATGAACCATGACAAAAGGTGCGGGGTCCACCCGGCACGTTTCAAAGTCTGGCGATGGGAAGCCCAGTTGACATCTTTTTAAGGCGAAGTCGAACCTGAAGACCCAATCCGTACTGCAGCCGGCTGGATGCAGCGGGCCCAAGACCGAGACCGTCGGAAGCAGGCAGCATGCGTTTTCGCAGCAACGTAACTCGCGTCAGTTCTCATTGCCTCGCCGTCCCTCCTTCTCCCTGTTTGGTTTTCTTTCTCCGTCCTCCGTCCCCCTGTGTCGGCCCGGTCTGTCCGTCGTCCTCCCCCTGCTCTCCCCTCCCCTCCTAGGCTCATCGGCTCCTCGCTCTCTCGCTTTTCGTTTCCTTGTTTGCCCCGCGTTTCTTTGTCGGCCCTGTCCGAATAAGCGTTGCGCCGTCGGGCCTGCGCCAGCGAATCGCCAGGCGTGTCTCCCGAATGATTTTAGATGTCTCCCAGTGGTGATTCCCATTGACGGGGCTCTCATATCACGAGAACAGAACAGGGGGGCGAAGGTAGGGAACGGGGGGGGGGTGGGATTTTGCACCAGTGAAACGTCCACACTGCACGGAGGAGGAGGGGGAGGAGGAGGGAGGGGGGTGAGGAGGAGGGGGAGGAGGACGAGGAGTGTAAAACCAAGAGGATGAGGCGGAGGAGGGGAAGGAGGATGAGGAGGAGGATGAGGAGGACGAGGAAGGGAGGGGATGAGAAGGTGCGGGAGGAGGATGGGTGCGGCAAGTGGAGGAGGAGGGTGAAGAGCACGACGAAGAGGAAGAGGAGGAGCGGATGATGACGAGGAGGAGGAGGAGGAGGAGGAGGAGGAGGAGGAGAGTGAAACGGAGGAGGAATCATGAAGGCGAGTGTTTTCTTGGGGCTATCTTGGGAGTGCTCTTGGAGGTTGCTGGGACGTTTTGGTTTGGGCTGTCTGGAGGCCATCTCTGGCGTCCAGGGCCAATCGTTCGGCGACTCGAGGCCCTCATGGGTTGTCTTGGGAGCCTCTTGGGCTCTCTTGGCCCGTCTTGTTTTTTTGGGGGTGCCCAGAGACCGCCCGGGGGGATGGCGTTCTGACCTGCGACTCCCCTCCTCCGCCCCCCTCCGCCCCCCTCCGCCCCCCCCCCCGTCTGCCCCCCCCCCCCCGAGACCCCCACTGGGGGGGAAGGTATCAAAGGGAAGGGCTTCCCTTCGAGCCAACTACGATGTTACTCAAGTTCGGTTTGATTTTGCTTTGGCTGGCGCGCTTGAGTCGGTTTCGCTGTGGCTGGCGCTCTGGAAGACGAGCCAGTGGCTGCGACTACGACGACGACGACGACGAAGACGACGAGTTAAACATAACGACGACGACAACGCGGAATTCGACGACGGCGAGTCAGACAGAACAGCGTCTCCCATTCGCCGACAGTGTCGGCGGATGCTTCCTTGTGTATGATAATTATGTTTCCTCGTAGCGCATGCTGCTGATGTGTGGCGTTGATGCCGTGGAATGCCCGTCTGGGGTTGAGATGTCGCCTCGCGCAGAGCAAGCATTATTGTATACAAGGGTCACCCGCAGGGCCGCGAAGATCAATGTGTTTCGAGGTTTGGACCAGAGAGCTGTTCCTCTGCGAGTGGGCGACGCGAGAGCGCGAAGATCATTGCGCTTCGCGCAGAGCGACGTGCTAAATTCGTTCACTTAGTTGACGCTCGAGAAGGGTTCGCTAGGGCTGAAGCGTTGCCATGCGCACAGAAAGCGTCATTGTCTGCTTCTCCCGCCTTGGGAGCGTAAGGAGGGCCCATCCTCCAAGATCTGGCAACGCCTCTCGCCTTGCCCATGTCGTCTGGACACGCTTCTTCGGCGTCACAGGGGCTAGCGTTTTGTCAGGGTTCGAGTTGCCTTCCAAATTGCAGTCTGACGTCAGGCAGTGTTCGCCGCATGCTTTCACAGCACGCGTTTGGGCTCGGCATCCCTCGTGCCCAGGCGGCTCATCCATTCCTTGCCCCCGTCTGGCCAGCCACAGCACGGCGACGCCAGGACGTGACCGTGACTGGCATCCGGTGCATAGACCTCGGGCCGGACGACTGGAACCCTGGCCAGGACTCCGGCTTCTGCGCTCGGTGGGGAAGCTGCCTCTCCCTTGGTTCTGGAGGATCGAAATGGGTACGGACAGAATGGGGACGAGGACCGGCATCGCTGCCGGCGTCGCCACGTACCTGTTCATTTGAGACAACAGGTCGCCTGCCCACAGCGGCCGCTGTCGGATTTGACCAGCATTTGCTCTCGGGCATTGTACTCATTTTGTCCGCACCAGATCGGGCGTGCAAATCGGGGGTCTGAGTCCCGGGAGCGCCTCTGCCTGTGTGGCGGAGGCCATGAGCCTGTTCTCTCAGCCTCCCGGCGCAGTGGACGTCACCGCTCGGGGCACCGCGCCGCACAACTCTTGGGTCGGATGCCCACCGCCTCCAGGAGTTCCGACGGAACGCCATCTCCAAGACGGTACCAGAGTTTGACGGGTTCCGTTCGGCGGCGAGCCCAGGGGGGAATGCAGAGGGGCGGACTTTCTCAGAAGGCTCGGAAGGCCTCCGGCTTCAGATGTTTTCTCAGCCTCCTGCGCAGACAGAGGCGGTTTTTCAGAAGGCCGGAGCGCTACAGAGAAGCCCCGCCGCCTTCTGAGAAGGCCTGCCCCCTCTCACTTCCCCCCGGGCACGCCGCCGATCCGTGTGAACCTTGCCAGCGTCTCCTCGACGATCCGGTGCTCCTTGTTCTGGTCGCTGTGGTGGGCCTGCGCCGTCTGCAGCGCGGCCAGCAGGGCCTTGCCTTGCGGTTCCTCTTGCCCTTGTCTCGGGGGCGGCCACAACGGGGGTGATGGCTGCAGCCAAGACGTTCAAGTAATGACCGCCTTGGGTTCGAGAGGGGCTACGATGTTGGGGCCGTTCCTTCGATCTAGATCGGGAGCCCATTCGTGGCCGAGGCCTGCCGTGGTGAGAAAAACTCCTTCGCGCCTTATTCAGCGTTCCTCATGGTAGCACGATGGCTGTTGAGGAGGGGGGGACATCATGGCCAGGGCCGTGACGTCTCCCTGGATTTCATGGCCTCCTTTTCCGGTTTCAATCCGCCCCCTTGCCCCCCCGCCCTGGGCCTCGCACGTGCCGCGGGCCATGCTTTGCACGCCCCCTCTTGGACATCCTCGATCGGCGTGCTTCCCGTGACTGGCAACAGCTTGCCTCGTGCCACCGCGCCACTCAACGAAATACGACAGCGGCACGCCCTGTGCCCGCGACCCTCCGCGGCGACGGGCTCGAGCGGGGTGAGCTCGTCTCGCCTTGTGTGCCCTACTCCACCCGCCGCGCCCGCCCTCTCCGGGCGCCTACTGTCCGACTTGGGCGCAGGAGCCCGCAGGAGGTCTCTCGTTATAGGCTTCCTAGATGGGGTTCAGAGTGGATGGGGTCGGAGCATGGCGCCGCATCGCCGATGCATCGCCGATACGGCTCGTTGGTGAGCTCGTTTTTCTCGGCGCCGACGTCGCCGAGGCATCGCCGAGGCATCGCCGCTGTATCGGGGATGCGGCGCGATCCTCCGGCCCCGCCTTCTTCGGATCCCGATTCGGGAGATCTTGACAGGCTCACTCACAGGGGAAAGCACGATCGCCGATGGAGGTCTGACAGCCCCAATCTCCCCAGGAGCGTTCGGATTCGCTATCGGGGGCCCGTCGCCGACGTATAGGGGCGCGGTGGCTGCTCGGACCCCATTTGGGAGGCCTCTGCTCGTGCCCGGCGCTCCTGGAGCCCAGGCCCGAGCCCGAGCCCGAGCAGGGGGCGGGGGCGTGCGGCCGCCCCACGGGCAGCAGCACGGCCGCGTGCGGCAGCAGTGCGACCACGTGTGGCCGGCTCAGGCGGTGTCTCGCCTCCAACCCTCGACTTTCCTATGACAAGTTGAGCCGCTGAGAGAAGGAGGGGAACTCGGGGATCCCCCGGGGGGGCTAATCGGACGCACCCCCATCGAGGATGGGGCCCCCCTGTCCTATATCCCCGAGTTGGGCCCCAAATTTCGGTTCCATACGAAAGCTCCACGAAGCCAAGGCATCCATACCGTTACCTTTCCCTCGATTTCATCTTTTTCGGCCCCCTGGGAGGCCCTCGCTGCCACCGCCGGATTCACCTCGAAACCCTCATCAGGGGGCACCCCAGGAGAGGTCCGGGGAGCAGCGGTGGCGGTACTAGTTTGCTTTCCCAATTCCTGCCTCCGCCGCGGCGGCCGCTCTTTCATTCTGCGCCCGCTGTAATTGGGGTGCCTGGGGCCTGGCGTGGCCCGCCGGCTCTGCAGGTAGGCGCGCTCGCGACCGCCAGCGCTGCCGGGCAGAGAGTGGCAGCAGAGCTGTGGAAGAGAGGTGCCGGTGCACAGCTGGTCGCACAAACACGGCTTGAGTCCAGGTGGCAGTGGTGAGCAGTGGCGATGCAAATCGCCCAAACAGCTAAACCATCGTGATCGCACAACGGACAATTTCGGGCAACGGGGGAGTACCGGCAACACGTTGAACAAGTCTGACACAGTCCCAGTGGGAAACCTCGGCTACTATAGCTTGCAATATGCTCTCCCTTGTGCTTGCACGCGAAGTAATTTCACGACGACATACGCAGCGCTGGTTCGATACAATCGCCTAAGATGCCTCATGGGACTGTCCATGCCCTTCCGAAGAACTCTGAAGCTGATGTGCCTTCAAGGCGACGATGGAAGCACATCTCCTCCTGCGCCCGATCCGGTTGAAATCCAGCGTATCGCAGAAAACATGGGCTCCTCCATCGATGCTGCAACTGGCAAGCTTCAGCTGGTTCGCCTCCCAGCATCTGCGCTCTCGGAGGCGGGACCGCAGCTGTGCGCGTAGCATGACGCAGCACTCGAATATCCACAGCCTGCAGAACGCTCTGTCGGGCTCAGCTCAGATTCGAGGAGCACCCTGGCGGGCTCAGCCGCGCAGATCTCAGCGACCCCGCCAAATTCATCGTGCGCAGCTGAAGCTCCAACGTCTTCCTACACTTGACGTGCCCACGAATTTGCATCGGGTAGCAGCCGCCCCTAGCACCAATCGCTGCATGCCCAACGAGGGAGGGTGGAGGAGGGAGGCGGGAGGGAGAAGGAGGCGGAGGCGGAGGTGGTGGGGAGGTGGAGGACGAGGAGGAGGATGATGAGGAGGAGGAGGAGGAGTTTTTCGCTTCAAGATGCGATCCAAGACAAGATGCTGGGCAATCTTGGGAGCGCGCCTCGTGGAGGCCAGAGAGGGCGAGCACGTGGATGATGAGGAGTTGGGATGCCTAGAATTGCGAGCAGGGTCAGGCCCGTAGTCTCTGTATTCTGATGATCTCCCTTTTCCCGGGACTTCGCCAACCATCTTTCATCATTGTCTCTGGTATTTTGAGGCTATAGCTGCTCGGCAGTCTTGTGCGGGGCACGCGCGCACCAAGCAGGCATGGTGCTCGCTTGTTTCGTGCCAGCGGTTAAAGAGAGCCCCCCATATTGTCCGACTCCTCTCTCGCCCTTGCGACTGAAACGAGGACACACGAACCGCTGAAACACAAACTCGGGAGGTCCGTTCGGATATCTTGCTCGGCGCTTGACCCCCCCTCCCTGGCGCGCGCCTTGCGCGCCAGGGGCGGCGCTGCAGGCGCCGCCAGGGGGGGCCATCGCCGATCCAAGAAATCCTCGCGCGTCTTCGAACGTCTAGGTTTATGCAGTTGTTTGGTTTTGCTACGTCGCCTTTTCCCACGGGAGTCGCTCCGCGCGGCAAGCACTGCCCAAGAAAGCCCGGGCGGGGATGAGGAGGGTGAAGAAGGAGGGGTCTGAGGTTGGGAAGGGACAGTAGGAGGAGAGGGAGGAGGAGGCGCAGAGGGAGGGACGAGTAAGCTTGAGGAGGGAGTACGGGATGTGTGCCCCGGAAGCCCCCAGAGGTCCCCAGGTGCAGCTCGACTCGTCGGGCAGGGGGGGTCCACCGAGGGAGTTCTACGGCGTGGCCAGCTCCTCACTGCCTCGGGCAGCCGAGAGCCGTAGTTCGTCGGAAAGGGTGCGCATTTTTCGCAGTCTGGCGTGCTGCGTTTCCTGAACGGCCTCCGATTAAAGCCCCACCTCGCCTAATTAAGCACAGTACAACCTCTAACCCTAGTCACACAATTAAGGCGTAGCCTAACTTAGGTCCCCGTCTTTGCATTCGGGCTAATAATTCTGGGCTGTTTGGTTTGTTACATCTGCTGAAACGGCCCCCTTATCCCTGATGTTTCGGCCTCTTGACCTAGGTCCGCTCCCACAAAGGGGTATGGGTTCTTCAATTGTCAATAATCGTCCTCCTCTTCTTCCTGGGCTGTTTAGGCCAACGTATGGCTTTGCTGCTAGGTGGGGTCTTAGACGGGCTTCGTCCGCGCTCTCTCTTCCCCCTACCCCTCGCCAAGTGTATGCTTTGGTAGAGAAGCACATTGGACGGCCTCCGATATCTTCTCTGAAGGATCCGTCCGGGAACGAGAAGTGCGAGTGGGGGCCTAACTGCAACAGCGCGCTGGCCATCATCCACGACGGCTGGTTTGGAGCCGTTTACCCTGAAGGTTCCTGCCTGTTGGGGGCAGAGGCGGCGATGCAAACATATTTGATCACGTCGGGTGAGAGCATATCGAAGTTACAGGCTCTTCTTTTATTCAGTCAGACTTTGTCAGCGGAGCGCCTTCAAATTCCATATTCTCAATGCTTCGCGTATCCCCATCAACCCATTTAGAAACGAGGCCCAGGCGAGTTGCCTCGATCATGGAAGTGTAGGAGTTCGCAGTGGAGCAACGATGGTGGGCAGTCATCAAACCGAAGCTCGGGATCAGTCTGAGCAGATCCAGGAGTCAGGCATAACGGCCTTCTCGAATCTTTTGATGTGGGAGCCTCTTGGTAGCTTCGTTGGGCCATTGTGTGGCCTTCATATGGTCCACCGTAAGCGGAACGCCGAGAATGCCAACACCATGGTGGACGAATTTTGGTATTTCAAGGACGTCTTTGGGAGCCTCCGATGCCACTTGGTTTCGTCTTAGGGCGGTCTTGAGGCCTCTTGGGGGCATGTTGGAGGCTACATTGAGCCGTCGTGGGCTATCGTGTGCGATCTTGGAGGCCATCTTGTACTACCTGGAGCCATCTTCAAGCCACCTTTTTGGTCAACTCCCCTAATCATTATGTCTCCCATGTGCCAACGTCTGTCAACCATCTGCAGGTTTTCCAATGACTTTGACTTCAACCGAATGGGACCCCTCCGTCGGAGCCCTAAACGGCGTTGGCATTTCGGGGGCGTCCTTGGGAGACTCCGATGCCACTAAGAGCCGTCTTGGGGCAGTCTAGGGGCTGCTTAGAGGCATGGTGGAGGCTGGACTGAGCCATCTTGGGCTATCTTGAGAGATCTTGGGTGCCCTCTTGGGCTAACTATCTTGTGTCATCCTGAAGCCATGTTGGGCCATCTTGGACGCTTCAACGCGTCGACAACCCCCCATCCAGACCCAGACGGGGTGGGTGGGACGGGTCAAGCTACGCCCCGAAGGATGGCCCAGGTGGTGCTCTGGAGAAGTCCTGGGACCGATCTCGGAGGGACTTCGGCCAGGGACGGGAAGAGTCTCGGTCTTCTTTTGAGGGCGCTGGCGTGTCGCCCAGATAGTGCGACTGCCCCCTTACCACGGTTTATCGGCATCACCCCGTGTTGCCTCCTGCAGTGCCATCATCCCTCTTGGAGCAAGTTCTAACTGACGAGAAAGAGCACGCTCATGAGATGCAGTTGCAAACCCCTGTCCTGGCTTGACACACCCCTGTACCATGTACACGTGCACGACCTGTACATCGTTTCAGCGCCAGCCTAAACGTGCCGGGTAAGCTGCATGGAAGTGTCTGGGCCAAGGCACGCTGAGCCATTCTTCTCACGCCATCACCTGCGTCCACCTCCGTACCCGCCGGGGGCACCTCGCTGTGGCCGAAATTTTGGACTCACGGTGGTTTGTCTGCGTGTTCGTCAGCCTCCACCAGGAGCGTTGGGGCCATCGGTGGCCCTCGGTACAATCCGCCCCGCAAGCCGAAGGGTTTCACTGGACAAGCAAACGTTGGCCTGCCTCACAGCGTGGCGTGACGAGTACAGTTGGCACGAGGACCAACCCTGGCTCTGGATGGGTGGCCATTCGTTCATTGTGTTCCGGACTTCCACCTTGGAGTGCTCTCCATTTGGGGCATCCCCACGGGGCCTTGGGCCTTCGGCGACGAGGCCGTTCTCGACCCGCGCTCTCGTGACCACGTTTCCACTGTGACCGTATGTCCATGAGTTGCCCGTTTGGGCCGCGGTGCCTTGCGAAGGCAACACGGTCAACATCTACGACAACGAGTACGTAGACTTTGACGGCAACCCCATCACCGACCGCCCCAAG